CATCTTTCGCTCGTTGCTAATTCAGAGGCTCAGTGTTAGCATTGTGGTTTTTAAAAAAAAATAAAATAAAAAATGATTAGTTAGATGAGTTTCTTCCCGTTACATGGATATAAAACATTCATAGTTTATTAAATGAACATGCCCTCAGACACTGTTTCCTGCAAGATGTTGCGGCAGTGCCCCGGTACCGGGGTCTCTCGGGTTTAACAGGTTAACTAAAACATTGCGCAATAATCCGGAAATACACAGCCATCCACTAGTGGACGTTTTTAAAAGCTACAGACACGTCTATTTAGATTAGCTGTTTATTAGAGACGCCCCACTTTAAAATAGTCTTTTAATCTTTATTTTAGGGCTGTTAGTCGATTAAAATATTTAATCGCGATTAATCGCAAATTAATCGCACATTTTTTATCTGTTCTAAATGTACCTTAGAGGGATATTTTTCAAGTTTTTAATACTCTTGTCAACATATGAGTGGACATATATGCTTTATATGTTTGTTTATTATCATTTGAACAATGACAAATATTCTCATGAATATTAAACACAACAACCTCTGAACATTACAAATATTCGCCTCAATTCAACCTGGAACCTCTCTCATACAATAATACAATACAATGTGTGTGTGTGTGTGTGTGTGTGTGTGTGTGTGTGTGTGTGTGTGTGTGTGTGTGTGCGTGTGTGTGTGTGTGTGTGAATGTGGAGACACTGTGATGGATCGTTGGAGCTATGTGCAGCTCAAGGCATATATGCTCGAACGGGAGCTGCCTGGACGCTGCAATCATGTTGCGCGCACTATCCGTGCTGAGTGTGCTGACTTTTCGTACAATGTCCCACTGTCTGGCTACCTGCATAAAGTCAAGTGCTCGGCGCAGTTGTCGGCGAAATGTCGCTCCTCTGTTTTCATTGAAACAGCTCCTTATATACGTTAGCGCAGCTAGCTAGCACCAGATGCTAACAACAACAACAACACGTAAGGTGTGCCTCGCTCGCGCCACACATACACACACCCTCCCGGTCCTCCCGATGGCCAGTCCGGGCCTGCCGGTGAGCGTGGAAGTGTGGTCTGCCACAAGCGGGCGGCAGGAGCGGGGCTGTCGGCATCAGCTTGTAGATGGTATTTTAAACTCGATGCGCTCTGAAACTACGGGGCGGCCGAGGACAAAAAATACACATGCGTTAATCGCGTTAAAATAATTAGTGGCGTTAATTTTCTTTTGCGTTAACGCGTTATTAACGCGTTAACTTGACAGCCCTACTTTATTTATTTCTATATTGTTTTATTTATTTTAAAGGTTTTTATTTTATTAGCTACATTCCCTTTTAAGTTGGTCTTTTAACATTTTTACCCTTATTATTCTTATAATTTATTTAGTTTGTATTATTATTATTATTATTATTATTATTATTATTATTATTATTATTATTATTATTATTATTATTATTATTATTATCTTATTTGGGTTTTTATTTGTATGTATATTGGTTTATTTATTGTGTTTTATTTTGTATTATCATACCTTTTAGCTCCTGTGTTTCTTAAACTGTTAAACTGCTATATCATGTTGCTATGCTGTATGATTTTAAATTGTGAGTGTGCCTTGTTAAAGCACCTTGAGCTGCACCTGGTGTATGATACAAATAAAGCTTCATTTGTATTATTATCTATTATTCAATGAGGTGAAACAACCATCAATATGAACTTCAATTGATATAACATCCTTTTTTTAGAAAATCGATTTTAAAATAATAGGAGGTGAGATTTGTTAACATGAAAAAGGTATAAACTTCCACTCCGTACCTGGTTTTGATCATACAAATGTAGTATTTTATCAAATGTTTCATTGTGAATTAAAGTGAATTATAAGGGTTGGCTCTTCTTTGAAGTAATAGGCACATATCCTTAAAGGTAGGGGAGGTAAGTTTGAGAAACCGGCTCGAGATACACTTTTTGTTATATTCCATGGAATGCTCTTAACATCCCGATAGCAATGAATATCTTAAAGGTGGGGTAGGTAAGTTTGAGAAACCGGCTCGAGATACACTTTTTGTTATATTCCATGGAATGCTCTTAACATCCCGATAGCAATAAATATCTTAAGTGCTTTGACAAAAAATCCATAAAAAAATGTCATCTGTGGAAGCTGTAGTACTGTGAAAAGTACGACCAATCATTTTAGCCGGCCCGGCTAAAATAACTGGATGGCCTACCTGCCTGTCAGCCTTCCATCTGTGCACAAACTTATCTCGTGCCCTCATTGGTCATGTATGCGTTCGTGTGTGTTGGAGGAGGGGCTCTATAAGGAAGTGGCAGATTTTCTCCGGTTGTGTATTTTCAAATTCTAGCGATCTCGAGCCGGTTTCTCAAACTTACCTACCCTACCTTTAAAGGGCCACACAGTACAGACCACTCCAATTACATAATTAAACCACACCGCATCTCAAATAAGGGCTGGACACCGGGATCACATGGTCTGGAAAGGTTGTAAAAAAAAAAGCAAAATAACCCTTCAGTTACTTATTACTTTCTTTTAAATGATGTTGCTATTTCCCAAATATCTTACAAACATCTGAAGCTTTTGTCTGAATCTCTGACCTGAAGCAGGACAGCTCCAATAACTGCATTGATCTACAGGGACTGGATCAAGGTAATTGTCCGTTTAAAATGCCTTTCTACTTCCTTCAAATCTAGGCCATGTCGGCTTGCTCAGGACGAAAATGAAAACGAAACTGTAGATCAGCCCAGGAGAGAGCTTCCTCACCAACAGAGACGCCGGTCAATAGCCTCTAACTGGCAGAACAGAACATTTCTCCTGTTCCTGTTACATTACATGTTGTTCCCCCAAAGCCACTTACATAAACGTATAGGATAGTATAGTATAGTATCTAAAGTGTAGTATAGTATAGCAGCATAGTGTAGTATTTTAAAGTATAGTATAGTATGGTTTAGTATAGGATAGTTTAGTATTGTAAAGTGTAGTATAGCATAGCATAGTATTGTAGTAGAATATAGTTAAGTATAGTTTAGTATAGAATAGTATAGTATGGTGTAATATAATATAGTATAGTTTAGTATAGTATAGTATAATATAGTATAGTATAGTATAGTTTAGTATAGTAAAGTATAGTATAGTTTAGTATAGTAGTATAGCTCAGCGACTCAGTTAAACAATAGTCAATAGGTCTCCCTTGAAAAAGAGATCAATGATCTCAATGGGATTTCATCTGGATAAATAAAGGTTTTGAATTGAATTTAGTCTGACTGAAATGACACTAATGGTAGGTTACAAAATGGATCTGCAGGAAAGAATACTGTATTCCTACTGTATCAGTTAATAATAATAATAATAATAATAATAATACTTTTACTTTATATATCGCTTTTCCAAGTGCTCAAAGACGCAGTTAAAAGTTTTTGATGTTCTGCTTATTTCTGAGGATGCAGTGTCCCAGAAACATGCTGTGCTCAGCTGTCTAAACTCATGAACAATTACCCAAGAAGCTTCTCACGGTGTTTCAGGGTGTCACGCAGCTGCATATAAAGCCATGACAATCAGTGGGAAGGGCATTGTGTTCAGAGGACAGATACACTAAGACAGGCTGTCTTCTTCAGGAATATCCTCAAACAACTACACACTTTGTCATCTCTTTTAGACAAAGGCTATCTTGCTGTTAACGAAATGCAAACATCTTAATTAAATATTAAACGTCAGAACTAGCTATGCGAGATCCGGATTCTGATAGAACAAACAGCATATTGACAATTTAGATTGATGTTTGGGTGAATTAAATAAAACGCTCATGTCATGCTGAAGGTTTTTGTTCGTTGAGTGATCAGTGATGGGATCATTGATGACACGACATCATCATTCTTCATTACCTCTGCTGTCAGATTGGAGATCTCTGTTTACATAAGATACATCTCTGAATTCGTTTGGTTTTAAAATTAGATATGTCTGATGTTGCCATATATAATCAAATTTAGAAAAATCATCCCATATTTTGTTGTTGTACCCTAATACCATACTGCCCAGCAATTCAGACCCTTCCCCACAGAGGGTACTCACATTACCCAGATGAGCCTATCCCTTCCTGGGTCTATTGTAAGGTGAGTCACTGAGGCTGAACCTGGGATGCTTCAGGGCATAGATCTTCATTTTTCTTGATTGGAATTACCCCAGTTAACACTACCAGTGTGACATTTGGTGAATCACTTTAAGCTGCACCTGCTGTATGAAAAGTGCTATATAAATAAAGCTTTATTATTATTATTATTAGTAGTAGTAGTAGTAGTAGTAAAGTAACCAAGTACTGTACTAAAGTACACTTTTGAGATAGTTGTACTTTATCTGAAGAATTCCATTTTTTGGTAGGCTACTTCGTTCTTCTACTCCACTACATGTATTTAATACCTTTAGTTACTTCACAGATGTGGATTAATGATGTGAAATACAACCAAGTGTTAAATCAGACTTTAGTTCCACCTGGAGTAAATTCACAAGCTACCCTGCAGTATACAAAGTCATTCAAACTAGCTGCACCTTTACTAGCTTTGATAACACTTTAATGATCAATCATTATAAAACATATCATATATATTATTCTGAAATGGAACAATCTGCACAATGAAGTAGCCTATTTTTGGTACTTTAAGCATATATTGCATTCCTACACTCTGGTACTTTACTTAGAGATCTGAGTAATTGTACCACCTCTGTGTGTGCAGACCACAGTAAATGGGTGTCATGGAGCCCCCTCCGTCAAACCAAACTTCAACTTTATTAAAAGTCTGCTTGGAGAGTTTGATTCAGAATATGTAGGCATTAACCAACAGCAAACCGTTAGACCCCGCACGGCTCTTTTTCTTAGTGAAGACTCTAGCGTCCTCCCCCGGTCCCACGGTAACTACTCGGATCACCGAGGTGCCCAGAGACGGTCTTGGTCGGAGAGAAGGGGGGAGATAATGTCTTCCCCTCTCCCACAGAATGTCTTACCTTCAGCCGTGTTCTCGCTCGTGGTGCCAGGAGCCGGAGCCGGTGCTCAGTCCTCTCCTCCCGCAGCTCGGAGCCTCTGCCCGGTGTCGCCGTGTTTTGAGACGTGGCCAGCGGCTGTGCGGACTGAGGCAGTGGGCTGGTGCTCAGAAGAGGGGGGTGGCTGGTGCTCGGAGACTGGGTGGAGGAGGAGGGGGGGGAGGGGGGTGGACTGAGCGGGCGGGACCTGATATTAAAGGTCCCATGTCATGCTTTTCCGGTTATTACCCGTCCCCTTGTGTGTTATGAAGGTTGTTATGCATGTGAACGGTCTGCAGAGTCACAAACCCTCAAAGTACACCCTGTAGCGAGTAAAACTCTAACACAGAAAATACCTGTCTATGCTGCTCCAGAACGCCTCATTGGAGATTTCTCTTTTTCTTCCTGGGTACAGTGACGTGACCATACCCAAATGGACCCATTGGTCCAAATTGACCAATCCGTGGAGCTTCTCACACACACACTCTCTCAGCGGCGAAACTGTGATGCGCTGGGGGGGGGGGGGGGGTGCTAGTGGAGCCTCACAGCGGCGAAACTGTGGCGCGCTTAAACTGTAGGTGCGCCGTTTGGGGGTGCGGGGGGGGGTGTGCGGGTGCTAGTGGAGCCTCGCAGATGGGGGTGCTGCAGCCCCCTCAGCACCACCCCCTTCCCGCGTCCATTCGTGATGTCTCGCTGTCTCGCAGAGCCCACGCAGCAAGCAGGAAATGAACCCAGCTCACACTGTCCGCTCCTCGCAGTAGCGAGCCGCGCAGCGTCCCGCCAACACGGCACCCAGACCCCACGCAGCATTCTCATCTGTTGCTAACGCCATTGTAACACATAATCACTGATGTTCCGCTGTAACGGTGGTGGACTCATCAGAACAGAGTGGGCGAGCTGACCAATCAGAGCACAGTGGGCTCACAGGGAGCCGGGGGCAGGAGCTCGAACAAGCCGTGTGGACAGAGAGTGAATACACATACTATACAGAGATGCTGTATGAGAAACCAATGTGAGTTTGGAAAATTGCACAATATAAATCTATTCTATTCTACCTCAACAATGGAATTATCATCAGTAGAAATGGCCATGACATGGGACCTTTAACTGTCGCAGTAGCAGGAGATGGGCAGATAACCAGAGGACATGTCACATCTGCTGATCCAGGACCAGCCCACAGGACAGTTAAGATCCTCATTTCTCAACTCAACAGAAAGTCACTAAGTACATTTACTCAACTACTGTACACAGTTGAGGTACTTTTTCATTTCAGAATCAGAATCAGAACTCCTTTATTCGTCCCACAGAGGGGACATTGACATTGTTACAGCAGTATGGAGAGACGAACAATACAAATAACTCACTATTAGATAAGAAAGGCATGCAGGGAAAATAAATAAGTAAGCATTAAGATTTTCTTTTTGTTCAAAAATATTTCACAGTTCACAGTTCACATAATTTAAAATATTTAAATATTTAAAGACTTTTTCTGCAATGAGTACTTTTACTCGTAATACTTTAAGAACTTTTTCCTGATCATACTTTAATATTTTTACTTAAGCATCATTCTCAATGCAGTACTTTTACTTGAAATTTAGTATTTTTACAGTGTGGTATTAGTACTTTTACTCAAGTCAAGAATCTGAATACTTTTTCCACTACTGAAACTCAACACAGAGTAGGCTAATGTAATACTGTTCATTTCAATCTTAAATGTAAGCTTCTTCCAGAGTGGGAGAAGTACTCAGATCTGGTACTTGAGTAAAAGTAGAAGTACCAGAGTCTAGGAATACTCCTACACTTAAATGGTTACTCAAGTAAAAGTAGAAAAGTATTATCATCAAAATATAGTTAAAGGGGACCTATCATGCAAAATGCACTTTTGTACGTCTTTTATACATGAATATGTGTCCCCGGTGTTCCAGGGAACTCACCAAGTGTCAGAAAACACAACCCTCTCTATTTTCCTCCATACCCAAATCTCTAAAAAAGGGGCTGCAACGGATCTGATAAAAACTGATCCAGATTTGAACACTTCTATGTCATCACAGAAGTGGCGCTACGGCTATTGGGCCAACTCTCCACCTATCAGGGGAATGTGGGGTTGGGCCACGGCCGGCCATTGCCGCTCGAAAACGCTGGAGACGCTGTAGTACATATGCCAGGCCTGTAAGTGGCGCTGTAGTCTGCCACAAAAGCAGCGAAGAAGACTTTCCGCGCATGGTTACTATGGTTACCCTTCTGTTTATTCTCCGCTGTGGCTTTTTTTCTCCCTCCCCGAGGCAAGCGTTTGCTCCCGCTGCTTTAATTCAATGCAATCCCTCCCCGTCGAGGCAAGCACTGTAACTCTCTCCGGTTAGTCCACCAGCAGATGACAAACACCCACCTCTCCGCCTCTTCCAAGGAACGGGGGGACCGTGCGGCAGAGTTTCAGTTAGGTTTTCTTTCACCGGTCAAGATGTCCGTTAAAGTTTAAATCTTCCGGACAAAATTAGAAAAGTGCCGGTCAAAGGTCTTGTTTGTTATTTATTGAGCTTTAAAACAAATGAATAACGACTCTATAGGCCTATAATAATATAATAAAACAAGGAGGACGGAGATCTATTTTTCTCCCCCTCTTCTGACTTCATCAGAGCACGGCTCCCCTCTCCTGCAGGGGGGCGTGGTCAGCTGCAGCTCACAGAATCAGCCCCGTGCAAAAACAGTGGTGGAGAACAGCAAATTGAGCGAAATGAGGCATGGCTAAAATGCATGATCTGTTTGGTATTTTGAAAACAGAAACGTATAAATATACCTTATATAGGTATGGCCCTACAATATATCATTTAAATATAGCATGATAGGTCCACTTTAAAGTACTAAAAGTAAAAGTAGTCATTGTGCAGATTGTTCCATTTCAGAATAATATATCTGATATGTTTTATAATGATTGATCATTAAAGTGTTCTCAAAGCTGGTAAAGGTGCAGCTAGTTTGAATGACTTTGTATACTGCAGGGTAGCTTGTGGATTTACTCCAGGTGGAACTAAAGTCTGATTTAACACTTGATTATATTTCACATCATTAATCCACATGTGTAAAGTGACTAAAGGCATAAAATAAATGTAGTAGATTCAAAGTACAACATTTACATCTGAAATGTATAGGAGTAGAAGAAAATTGCAATACTCAAGTAAAGTACTACTATCTCATAATTGTACTCAAGTAGTACACTTGAGTAAAAGTACTTGTTACTTTACACCAGTGGCTACATCGATGAACGAAAAGTTTTGACTCAGGTAGGCTTACATGTTACAGACAATGAGCATGACTTAAGCTCCTTAAGGCCGCTACACACCAACCCGATTTTGGGAGTCAGAGGCCGTCAGAGGCCGTCAGAGGCAGTCGGGCATTCGCGGCGCCCTACTCAGGTTGGTGTGTCCCGCACCGTCGTCTCTTTACGGCACATTTTCACACCCGCGGCCGATTCAACATGTTGAATCGGCCGCGGGAGGCCAAAGAAAGTCGGGACAAATTGTTCAGTTTAGCGAGTTAGTGCATGAGAAGCGAAGCGGAAGTGAAGGACCAAAACAAACGATTAAGAAGGCACACACAGACGGTTATCTTTTTCATTTTCATCTCACCCGGACGCAAGAGTTTCTTTTTTATGTTAACATGTTTTCGATCAACGAGAGAGAGTGAAAATGGAACCCAGACGCTATTTGTTGTTTGTTTATATCACGCAGCCTGTTCTTCTTCTCTCGTGTATAGTCTGTCTTCCGGTTGTTGCCTCTTTTGAATGACGAATACACACTACCGCTGCCTGCTGGTAAGGACAGTTATTGCCACTCGTCAACTGAAGTCTTTGCGGTGTGTTCGTAGGCGGGCGGCGTAGGCGGGCGGCGTGGCCGACGCAGGCGACGTAGCGGACGTAAAAGTCGCCTTCGGTGTGCGTTCTTTGGTCTTTGGTGTGTACACACCAAACTGACACCAAAGAACACGTCCCGACGGAACGTCGGCTCACGTCGGCTCACGTCAGCTCACGTCGCCTCACGTTGGCTCACGTCTCACCTTTTTATGTTTATGATTCCTTTAAAGATTATACTTTAGGCTGCAACATTCAAGATATCACATAGTAAATATTTCCCAGAAATCTTATTTGCATGATGCAAAAATGTAAAAAGAACCCAGCATAAAACCATTTCTGTGAATACTTGTTCTTCAGGTTATTTGAGTAACACAAGCATACAGTCTCTAATAATATGAGAAGGTTCATTACATTAAACCACACCGATTATTGATTATAAGATGACAAAGCAGTTTCAGACAATGTATTGCAGTGTTGAGTATTTCTACTATAAACTACTACTTTATTGTATTCTTTGTCACTTCATTCATTTGACAAGTATAGTTACAAAGAAATGTACAAAATATGATTTCTCATTCAAAACAAAGGTCTTCATGCATTGATTGTGTACATTTTTCTGACACTATTTCGAAACAGAAAATGTATTTAATTCTATGTCAATGCTTAATCTTGAAAAGCCACTACAGTTATCAGGTCAATGTAGTGATTTAAAAAGGATCTTACAAAGCATGTGAATAATGCCATACATGTACAGTAAGAATTGAGCAGAATGGACTGGAGTTCAGCTCTCCTGGGCCTCACTGAATGAACAAGTAGGGAATGATATTGATTCATCAAATAATAATAACACAGCACCAAACAAAAAGGATGCACCTGGTTCCTGTTCAAACTAAACTCATATCCTGTCCTCCTCTGCAGCTCCAGCTCTCTGGTCACCAGATAACGTCTGGGTGAGGAGAGAGGGGAGGAGGGGGGAGGGGTGACTCTGCCCCAGGGCACTAACATGGAATCACTTATAACCACCCTCAGTAAGGTGTAAAGAGAATACAGTGCTCTGCCTTTAAACAATAGTCCCTCTCAGCCACTGAGAAATAGTGCCCTTTCATTGATTCTGACAGACTGGTTGGAGTACTGTTTTTATATTTTGTCACTTTATTACTCACTAGTTAAACACACTTAACTTTTATGGGCGCCAGTTTGAGTATCAATTTAAAATGATTAACTATTGGATAGATTGGCATGAAACCTTGAAATCACATTGGTGGTGCTCAGAGAGTGAATCT